AAACTAACTTAATGTGCTTGCTTGCAGGGTTTGGTCAAAATGAGGCAAAGAAGCCATAATCAACTCATGGAGGAGTCAAACCTGCACGAATCCAAGGCTGAGACTAGAGCGTTGAGAGCGGCAGAAAAGCGCGGCCGCGTAAGGACCACCGCTGAGGCGGCCACTATTACGCGGTCCGCGAAAGTAGATTAAGAGAAGCTGCTTTTGAGTACTAAAATCACCGTTGACCGCGTTGGAAAGGCGCGGCCGTGGAATCTTTGGCGCGACCGCGAAGGGAATTCCGCTGAGAGCGCATCTTGAGGTTCAGAGAACCTGCAAGTCGGGCTTTACTGAAGAACGTGGTCCGCGTCCAAATTACGCGGTCGCGATGGAAGCACACGCGGACGAGGTTAAAATTAAGCGGTCCGCGAAACTAAGCCCAATCCAAACCCAGTATTGAAGAAATGCGGACCATGCTCATTATTACGCGGACGTGGTCAGAATTACGCGTCCGCGAATCCTCCGCAGGGGCATTTTTGCCCAAAATTTTTAGCTTAGTATAAATAGATCCTTTTATCAATTTTAGGTTAAGTCAAGGTTGAGCAGAGCACGTGAACAACTGGTTTTTCCCTTTTTGGGCAATTTTAGAATAGATTTACCTTCAAACTTTAGATTTTCATCTTGTACTTTAATATTATGGCTTATATTTCATCTTTATCTTTGATTTCTGTTGTTATTATGAGTAGCTAGACCCCATAGCTAGGGTTGTGACCCAACCCTAGTGTGGGTATTTAATGGGTCTTGAATTTTAGGGCTAATAGTTTATGAGTTAGTGATATTTAGCCTAATTTATGCTAAAATTATAGAATTAGTAGTTGCAAATACTGATTCATGCCTTTATGACTTAGGCTCTTCTTGAGAAAGAAGGACTAAGTCTAGAAAAATTAGGCTAACAAGGAATTGGGGTGAACTCAAGAGATTGATGGCCCCAATTAAAGGGTTAAATCTAGAGATAGTAATACTCGATTTGAGCCAATTTCACTTGTATTGTATGAACACCCATTTGGGCTTGAGAAAGCCAAATCGGGCAAAGTCACTCAAACTACTGAGAGGTATAGAGTGAGCACTTATGTATGATGGTTATATCACGACCCCCAATCATAACAAGCTTGTCCTAGATTATTGATACCCATTAGATACTCACCTAGGCGGAAGTCACTTCCCTAGTGCCTTTTGACACTTGAAACTTTCACCAAAAATGTTGTACTAAGCTTACACTTAGCATACTATAGTATAAAATTAGAATAAAATCAATCGCAACAATATTTGGAAGTGCAATTAGGAACAACACGCACATCTAGATTAGTTAGATACCCAAATCCAAACCAATTTAACTCCCTGTGGAAATCGACCCCGACCTCGTTGGGTAAAACTGCATTGACCATCCTCACTACTCTATAGTGGTGTAGGTTTGGAAAATGATCAACAAGTAAGACAAGTAAGGCAAGTAGCAATTAATCATGGAATTATGGAAGAAACGAGCATTTCAATACAAGAGTTAATAGTTGATAAGTATAACAAATTACGCTATAGAAAGCAATTAAAATATGTAACAGTTAAGACATGAAATAAGATAATTAATGAAATACGGGAGAGCATGAAAACAACTATTTTGACGGCGTATATAGACTCGTCATCTCGCATATACGCCATTACACATGTAAATCACATAACGTATAGTTCAAGGGTTCCTAATTCCCTAAAATCAAGGTTAGACCCAACACTCACCTCACTCCGCAAGCAAATCAAAGCTCAACCGGGGCCTCTCCTCTAAAATTCGCCTCCAAACCAATCAAATCTAACCAAAATCAACTATATATCAACAAACAATGCGAGGAAAATCAATTACAATACGTAAAGCTAAGATCTTTACACTTTTTTCCAAAAAATCAACAAAATAACCCCGGGCCCACTTGGTCAAAATTCGAGATTCGAACCAAAACCCAATTACGCATTCATCCCCGAGCCCGATTATGTGAGTAGTTTCGAAATCCGACCTCAATTTGATGTCTAAATCTCGATTTTACAAAACCCCCCAATTCTTCCCAAATCCCTAATTTTCTATCATGAAAGAGCATAGATTAATGTTAGAAATCAATGGGTGTTGATGGAAATGGAAGAAAACGAGTTAAAGTATATTAACCTATGAAATGGTGATGACATTTCTCTTCAAAATCGCCTCTAGGCCGAGCTTTAATGAGAGATAGTGAAAAATGGGTGAAATCCCGTGTTTGGAACATTTTAAAGTCTAGGCGTCATGTGTTCATCGCGTTCGCGAGACACCTGACGCGATTGCGAGCCACTCTTCACGTTCGTGAAGGCTTACTCCCCCTGCCTTCGCGTACGCGATCTAGTGAACGCGTTCGCGAAGAGTAACTGACATGCACCCTCCCAGGACCCTATAACCCTACGTGTTCACGAGAGGAAGGACTCGTTCGCGAATGGTAAATCTCCCACTACTTCGCGTTCGCGAAGAAGAAGCTCCTCCGAGCCCAGATTCCCCTCCGTGATCACGAGAGAGTCTTCGCGATCGCGAAGCACATGCCACCAGATATCAGCAGTAGCCAAAACCAACAATTCTTTCTAAGTTCAAATAGTTCGTAGCATATCTGAAACTCACCCGAGCCCCTCGATCTCCAACCCAAACATGCACACAAGTGAAATAATATCATTATACGAATGAAAATAACACCTAGAATTACGAATCGGGCACCAAAACGAATGAAATTTTCAAAGAAACTTAAAAACTTTCAATTTTACAACCGGGCGTCCCAATCAAATCAAATCAATTCCGTTTTGCACCAAATTTTGCAGACAAGTCATAAATACTGAAATGAACTTATACCAAATTTCGAAACCGAAATCCGAACCCGGTTGCAATAAAGTCAACCTACGATTAAACTTAGGAATTCTTTAAACCTTTAAATTACTCGTTTTCAACAAATTACGTTTAATCAAGTTAGGGACTTCCGAATTCGATTCCGAGCATACGCCCAAGTCCCAAATCACGATACAGACCCACCGGGACCGTCAAAAACTATTCTGGATCCATTTACACAAAACGTTAACCGTAGTCAACTCAAATGAGTTTTAAGGCAAAATTTCACATTTTTATCAATTTTTCACATAAAGTTTTTCCGAAAAAAATACGGACTGCGCACGCAAATCGAGAAAGGCTAAACGGAGCCATTCGAAGTCTCAGAACACAGAAACGAAGGATAACACTATACAATGGCGGAACTATATGCATTTAACGAGTGTCACCCCTTTGTCGAAAAATTACACTGTGTAGTTAGGTAATGTTTTATAAAATTTGTATATATACTATGTATTGACACCCTTTGACTTCTTGATGAATTTATTTCTTTATATTTTTCCCCTCTTGATGAAAATCCTGGCTCCGCCACTGACACTATAAATGACCTATCGGATCATCATAATAAGCTTAGCCAAACACCCTCTATGTCCATAAATTCTCAATGGGCCAAACGATACATGCCAAACTGTGTTCACCAATGACATATACAGGTCAAACGTGACATCTTTTGTAGCAGTGATCCACCACAACCCTAAACAAACCCCTTGCTCGCACAAATTTTTTAGTTCAAGCTAACAAGTGGTAGTTTACTCAAGCCTCACTAAACATTGCAGCAGTCTTGTACATATCTGACACATTGAATATAACATTAAATATTTTCATTGTGCAAGTCAATTTACTTGCATCTCGATTATTCCATCAGATGCTTATTATCTCTCATCAACACAAGTATTGGATGACTCTACTCGTCAAGGCTTAGGTGAATGAAAGAAATCACTTAACATTTTTGGTCTGAAAAGACCTCTAGGCTATACCTTTGAGTGCACAAAGAGTTAAATATTTGCACCCACATGCAGCAAATTACCAAGGCTCTGCCATGATGTGCACAAGTCAACCTCATGCTATCCGTTTACATGAACTTTATTTTGATATCTTGTCAAATCTGTCTACCAGAAAGGAGAAAGATGACAGTTCATTAACAAAATCAACTTGTCTAAAGTTCCTGAACAGGACTATTCTGGATTTCCCCCTTTCTTCCAGTGAAGAAAGAATAAACAAACTGCTTTGGTTACAGATTTGCATGGATGAGAAACAGAATCTCAAGGCCCAACATTACACCTGCAATGTAGTGTGAAATCAAGAAAATTAGGACAACAAGAACAACAACTCCAGTGTAATCACACAAGTAGGGTCTGGAGAGGGTAGAGTGCATGCAAACCTTACCCCTATATTGTGAGGGTAGAGAGGATGTTCCCGATAGACCCCCGGCTCTAGGAAAGATGAAAAAGAAGCAATAGTAACAAATAGTAACAGCAACACGATAATAGAACCAAAGCGAAAGAAACAAGAATAGGGGATAAAAACAAGAAACATAAATAACAGGTAGTAAAAGAAAACTAAGAATAGGAAAATACAAGAGCAATACTAATACTACTGGTATGAAAAAGAAATACGCCCAACTACATACTAGCCTTCTACTTGTTGGCCACTTACGTAGATCATAATAAGTACAGAATGATTAGAATCCACTTCTTCAGAAGCATGATAACCACATTGAAGTGATTTTGGTTAATGAACATTAAACTTTTGAATCATCATGTCAAGTTTGAACAGAAAATAATAAAGAACACACTACGACTTGTATTTTTTTCCAAACATCTGATAGTTTAAGGGTTACCAATGTAGGTTATTAATCATTTAAGCTTGCCACTTTAAGTGCATACCTACTTCACTTATCACTTTTTTGTTTAAATCGTACGATTTCATTAAGAAAATAGAAAACTTGCACGAGGATGATATCAAAAACAATATAACCTCCTTTTCTAGCCATTGATGACTAATCTTCTTTTCTCAAGTAAGGCAAGTTTCTACTCCCCCGCCCCCCACCCCCAAAAACCAAAAGAAAGAGGGAAAAGATTTCAAATTCAACCGCACAAAAAGAACAGCAGCAGTTTACCAAACTATTTCAAAAAGCATTTACAGGCTAAACCGTGAAATCCTGCCAGCTTCTATCAGTAGGCATATTAGAAACAAATCACCATTTGACAGAAGAATGATTCTAAATTCAAAATTACAGTTTATTCAAGAGAACTTTATCTTTGTATATCACAAAGTACAAGGTATAAATATCTTGTAATTTCTCCCGCAGAGGGTGTACCACTTGTAGTCAACAGTTCCACTTCTTCTTCTGTAATTGTAGGATATTTTTGCATCTTAATCCACTTAATAGGGTACCAAGGTTAACATAAAATGCCTGCTCCTGTAATTTAGAAGAAACGAATAAGACTTTTTCCCCAAAAAACAAAAGGAGAAGGAGAAATCAAACTAAAAACATTGTCCAATTGATATATGTTCCTCCTTAAACAGCTGAAAGAACTATCGTTTCTCTATATTGGAATGTGGAATCCAGTTAAATGAAATACAATGTGGAAAAATATCAACCAAAAGTAATATGAACCATATAAAATAAGAGAGTAAATTGAAATGGCGACGAAATTGTTATTGAAGCTGCATAGTTGAGTCCATGTAGCATGTGCTTTATTAATCAACTTAGACTACAAAGCTATTTAGAATTAATTCTTTGGGAAGGGAATAAGGAGAAGGGTGCCTATCACTTAGTTAACTGGAAGACTGCTCTTTTGAGCAAGGAGGATGGGGAGTTGGGTCTAAGAAACCTCAAAATTCACAATCATTGCCTTCTTTCGAAGTGGTTGTGGAGGTATGCTAATGAGGAAAAGGTTTTATGGAGGAATATTGTGGTGTCTAAATACGGGGAACAAGATTGTTGGAAAACTAAGGACGTAATCAGTCCTTATGTGGTTGCGGGCTTCGGAAATTCATTAGAAGGCAGTAGGATAATTTTCAAGGAAATCAGAATACAAGTTAGAAATGGGGATTTGGNCGTTTAGCCGTTCTGCTGATAAAGATGCTACTGTGGCAAAGCTTAACCATGGAAGTAATTGGCAGCTGAATTTCAGGAGGCATTGGTCCGATTGGGACATTGGCAGCATTGTTGCAGGAACTGAACATGAATGCTCTGGAAGATGGAGAAGAGGATTGTCTTGTTCATTTGCTTCAGATATCGGAAAACATTCTCCTTGACCGTGTAAGATAATCGGGGAGCTGTCGTGTCATTCAAAGTTGCGTGCTTTTGCATGCAGTAGATGTTTCTTCAGTAAAAAGGAAGTTGAAACAGTGCTCATATGTTTTTACATTGTGAAGTAGCTGGGCAATTTTGGCATCTATTTTTTAATCTTTGGGATAAAATGGGTGATCCCTGCAAACTATTAAGGATCTTCTGAATAACTGGCTGTTTTGCAAAGGTAACAAGGAGCTGAAAAGGATTTAGAGAACTATTTCGGGCTGTGTCTTCTGAATTATTTGGAGAGAACAGAATTTTAGATGTTTTGAAAGCAAATCAGAGTCTATTGTCTATTCATATGGTGAAATTCAAATGCTTATCTACTTTAGCTTCATGGTGTAAGCTAGATGATATGGACGACGAAGGGAAGCTTATAGATGTCATTAGTTGTAGGGTGGATAATGTTGTATTTAGGATGTGCTCTCCAACACGGTCTTAGTGCTGGGTATTCAAATTATTTATAAAAGTATTACCTTAAAAAATTGAAAAAGATATTTACTATTAATTAATTTATCAAAGAACGATACTTCCTATTAAATTATATGTATGAGATCATCCCGTCTTTTCTGTCTCAACATTTTTTCTTTTTTCCTAGCAGTGGTGTCTAAGCCTTGTGCACACCTCCACTATTCCGTTACCAGCACATTTCTTAATATTTCTTTGTATGATATGTTCATAATTGTCAATGTTACATATTGATATGTCATTTCTCAAAGTTTACCATGTCAATGTGTCCGTGACTAATCATATTGCATTTGACTTCTATCTTCCTGCTTTCTAGGTTGATATAGGAACTCACATTGTATGAACCGTAATATAAATGCAACCTGTAGATAAATGTCACATATAGAAGTAAAACCTCCTTCCTAGTGACAGTGATTATACAGTGAATCTAAAAGATTTTCCAATTTTCATTTTTTTGATCTATTATATGCCACAGAGAGATCTCAAGTACAAACTCCATTTTCACATGAGATAAAATATTTTGCAGATATTTTACTCATTTATGGTAAGAAGGCAAATAAAGAGGCGAAGTTAGCGGTCACAACAGCTAAGACTGCAGCCTTTGTATGCTTGTATGAGGAACTTGGCGGCAGATGCAGAATTGTTCAGGTTAGCCAAGGCGAGAGAGAAGAAGGCTCGGGACCTAGACCAAGTGAGGTACATCAAAGACGAGGAAGGCAAGGTATTGGTGGAAGAAGCGTGTATTAGGCGCAGGTGGTAGACATACTTCCATAAACTCTTGAACGAGGAAAGGGACAAGAATATTGTGCTTGGGGAGTTGGAGAACTCAGAAAGCCAGCGTGATTTCGAGTTTGTAGGTGCATTAAGGTTGAGGAAGTTGAGGAGGTAATGTGGAAGATGAGCAAGGGTAGGGCAACCAGACCAGACGAGAACCGGTGGAATTTTGGAAGGACGCGGGCCGGGCAGGCTTGGAGTGGTTTACTGGATTGTTTAATGTCATTTTTAGAAAAGAAGATGCCCGAAGAATGAAGGTGGAGTCTGATGGTCCCATTGTACAAGAACAAGGTGATGTCTAGAATTGCAACAACTATAAGGGTATTAAGATGATGAGTCACACCATGAAAGTTTGGGCGAGGGTAGTGGAGAGGAGGGTGAGAAGGAGTGTGTCTATTTCGGAGAATCAGTTCGGATTCATGTCGGGGCGGTCGACTACAGAAGCCATTCATCTTGTGAGGAGGTTGACGCAACAGTATAGGGAGAGCAAGAATGACTTGCATATGGTGTTAATTGACCTAGAAGAAGCCTATGACAAAGTCCCTAGGGAGGTTCTATGAAGATGTTTGGAGGTTAGCGGCGTTCTGATAGCATACATTAGGGTGATTAAGGACATGTACTATGGAGCTAAGACTCGGGTGAAGACTGCGGGAGGAGACTCGGATTATTTCCCAACGGTGATGGGGTTGCATCAGGGATCAACTCTTAGCCCATTTTTATTTGCCCTGCGATGGATGTGCTGACACGATACATCCAAGGGGAGGTACCATGGTCTACGTTATTTGCAGATGACATAGTACTGATTGACGAGACACGTTGCGGGGTTAATGCTAGGCTGGAGGTGTGGCAACAGACCCTCCAGTCTAAAGGTATCAAGTTGAGCAGGACAATAACAGAATACTTGGAGTGTAAGTTCAGTGTTAGATGCATGAAGCCGAATTGGACATGAAGCTTGATACACAAGTCATCCCAAGAGAGAGTTTCAAATATTTTAGGTCTATAATAGAGAGTAACGGGGAGATTGACGAGGATGTGGCACATCATATTGAAGTGGGGTGGATGAATTGGAGGCTCGCTTCTGGTGTTTTGTGTGACAGGAATATTCCACCTAGACTAAAGGGCAAGTTCTACAAAGCGGTAGTTAGACCAGCCATTTTGTATGGAACCGAGTGTTGGCCAGTCAAGAAATCTCATGCCCAGAGGATAAAAGTAGTAGAAATGAGGATGTTGAGATGGATGTGTGGGCATACCAAGAAAGACAAGATTAGGAATGATTATATTAGGGACAAGGTGGGTGTGGCTCCTGTGGAAGAGTGGCGGGAATCGAGGCTGGGATGGTTCGGTTATGTGAAGAGGAGAGACTCTAATGCCCCGGTTAGGAGGTGTAAGAGGTTGTCCATGGCGGGTCAGAGGAGGGAGGCCTAAGAAGAATTGGGCTGGGGTGATTAGGCAGGACATGGCTCTACCTTAGCTTACTGAGGACATGACCCTTGATAAGAAGGTGTGGAGGTCGAGAATTAGGGTTGTGGGTTGACAAACAGTCTAGAGTTTTGCCTTGTCTTAGTATTAGTACTAGTCTTTTATTTTTCTATTCCTAGTCCCTTATTTTTACACGGTGTGTCATTATTATCAGTAGGATTGACATTATTCTTGTAGTTTCGTATTCTGGATCTTTGTTATTACTCGTTGTACCATTTGCTTCCATTGCCTTATTACCTTTTTGTTACTATTGTTTGTCTATTGCTTCATTTTCACTATTCTTGAGCCGAGGGTCTTTCGGAAATAGTCTCTCCAACTTCAGAAGGTAGTGATAAGGTCTGCCTACACACTACCCTCCACAGACCCCACTTGTGAGATTTTATTAGTTGTTGTTGTTTGTTGTTATGGTAATAACCTTGCATTTCAGATAGATATTTCCATAGATCTATCCAGTCCAATAACTACCAACATAACAACTCAAGGAAGAGAGTAACAAAAGTCAAGGTACCTCAAGAGCTTTTCCTCTCTGTATTATTTCCGAGAAATAAATTGCCTCTGTTCAGGGGATGCTAGCCTTCATCACCACCTGTGTCTGCATCTGAAGATCCATCTTCGTAGCATTCATCATTCATTTCTATCTCTTCTTCATCACTCTCTTCTTCTCCCGTATCCTCTTCATCAACTACATTGTCTAGTTGCGGCAAAATGTCTATTCCTTTGCTTCGATAAATTAACCCAGTCCTCATAACATGATGAAACTTATCCCTGTGGCGAGTCAGAGGATGCGGATTTACAAGTCTTCCACGACGGTACCCCTCTCTCAACGCCACAGTCGTTGTTTTGCACTTCAATGAGAGGTAAAATATTCCTGGATACCTTGTAAATATTCGAGTAAATCTATGTGGAAGATTTAGTTCCTCTCTCAAGCTCCTCAAGTAATTTCTCTTTGTTTTCTTGTATAGTGTCAAGCTTAGAAACTCATGTAAAACCCCAACTATTCTCTTTTCCATAAGATCACTATCGGGGTCAATTCCCCTTGAATCCTCATAAGGTGAGATGTAAGGCAGCTTCTGAAACTCATCCATCCACGCTTTGACCTTCTTCTGTGCCCCATATCCCCTTGGAAAACTCATTGGAAATTCTAATGCAGCTTTGCCCCTTTTAAATTCTCTATACCCAGGAGGGCTTCCATCGTCTATTGTGCTCTTCTCATTCATCTTTTGCAACTCGGAGACAGCATATTCTTCTGGCCATTGAACAAGCTTTAAGCAAGCCAATCCATTCGTTCCCTTAACTATCCTAAAATGATCAGGAAATTTCCTAATTAAATTCTTATCAAAATCATCGGGCAATCCTAAATCCCATTTCAAAGGATGTAATGACTGCAGCGCAACCTGAAAATATTAAAGAAAATTAGAAGAATTTAGCACCAAGAAAATGGGAGGAGAGAAACAAGTTCCACATATGGAAAAAGAGCAGTATTGGTCCTGCATTTTGAAATTCACAAAATCCGAATAAAAGGTATTTTATCTTGACTTTTAAAAGCTACACCAGGAAGGAAGTCTTTATAACTAATCCAAATTGGCCTTCAGTCTTATCCTCCAATAACTATCATTTCAGTTTTGTCCTCCAATAACTATCATACCCCAAAACCACAATTTGCAAAGAAAATTTTCATATTTTTACAGCATTTTCCAATTAGTAGCAATCACAAGCAAATTTGCAGTCCACTAGATCCTCTCCATAAGCATGATTGGTAAAAATACAATGACAAATACAATTACATTCAATTGGCAATAATCCTCAAGAAAAAGCTCCAATCTTTTTCCTATTTTTTTCCCGGGCAGTAGGATATGCTAACATAAGGGGAGCCTTGGCATAACTGCTAAAGTTGCTGCCATATGACCGGGAGGTCACCGGGTTCGAGCCATGAAAACAGCCTCTTGTAGAAATGCAGGGTAAGGCGGCATACAATGGACTCTTGTGGTCCGGCCCTTACCCAGACCCCGCGCATAGAGAGAGTTTAGTGCACCGGGCTGCCCTTTTAGCAGGATATGCTAACAATATTCACACCATCAACAACTACGCCTTAGTTCCAAACAAGTTAGAGTATCTTCACTAACCATGTTACTTCATATAAACTCATTTCAGACCAATAGTATACAAATAAATGTAAATAAAAAAAAATTATTATATCTTGTAACACAAATATGGGACCAAAAATGATGAAATAAAAGTGTTTAAAGAAGTACCATTCTGTTAGTTGTCATCATAAGAAGTTTGGAAAGCCTTTGAACCAAATCAGTGTGGTTATCATCAAACACCTTCAGTTCTTGATCATGAAGAATTTTAGCAATATGGGTAAGTTTAAAACAAGGCAAAGATGGGTACTTTGGGTGAGGAAACTCTTCAAAAAGAGTTGGGTATCTTCTAATAAACCTAAGTGTAGGAACTGTAAGTCCAAGAATTTTTTGTGAGTCAGCAAGTGACTTCGCAGTTAGATAACCAACTGGTGAACGAACAATAGCTTCTTTTAATAAACAAGCTGCTTTAAGATCCGTTTGAACATCGATTATGTGGTCCAAACCTCTGTTTTTCACCCATTTTAAACGGACTTTTACTATGGTTCTGTGGTGCTGAAGGTTGTGACTATGGGATGCAAACTGTTGGGTGGCTATGGATTTTAGGATTGAGGATAGAGATTTTTTTATCAAATTCATATGCGGGTTTGTGTTTGAGAGTGAGAAAGTTGTGTTGCATATGCACTAAGGTATGGTTTTGGGGGCTAGAGGGATTGGAACTAGCTCTGGGTTTTGCAGATGGGGAGGAAAGAAGTCAGGGAAGGGGTTTGCGAAACGTCGACGTTCCTACATTTTTAATTTTTCGTAATTGCTGCACTTGGATCCCTATAGTTTATGAAATTACTACTTAGTTTTGGCGAGAATCAGTTTGTGTTCGACTAATTAATTTAAAAAATACTTTTAAGTATCAATTAGTATTTGACCAAACTTTTAAAAACTTGTTCTAAGTATATTTTTCTCAAAAGTACTTTTGGAGAGAAGCTATTTTTTTCTTCTTCTCCCAAACTATTTTTGTTTCTGCTCAAAAGCTCTTTTTTTTCCTTCTAAAAGCTTGGCTAAACACTTCAACTTTGAAAAAAAACTACTTTTTAAATTAAAAAAAAATGCTTTTAGATTTGGAGAAATTTGACCAAACATGCTATTAGTTTCATCATTGAAACTTTTTTAAGGTGCAAATATGAATATTTTCTCCCAACTTTGCGCACTTTAATATTTATGTACGGGTAAAATCGAGGATAAAGTTACCCCCGATTTTTTAGTAAAGAAACTAGAAGGAAGCACGATCTGGCATTACCTCGAGTAAAGCCAAGGGGTTCCATGTCTCAGAGCTCGGGAAGGACGAATGGTGCACCCGGGATACGGCTGAGCATCGGGTCCGAGCAGAGTAAAGGGCTGAGACTATGGGGAAAAATAATTAGGCATGATAAGCGGGGAGCCGTAATATCCGCCCAATATCAACTGCTGATCAACATTTACTGGAAGTAGAAGATTTTTTTACCTTATTTAAACCAATGTTGGCACACATATCAAAGGAATAAAAGCTAATTTTTGTTCTCTAGCTACTGTTCATAGTGTTGTTCAGCCGGGGTCAATTTTCAGTGTTCATCCAAAAACCAGGCTTAATTGTCCATAAAGTTTGGTTTGATCGTTTTGTTTCTCTTTACTTTAATTATTTTCTGTTCATAGATCATTCATGTTAAATTGAATCACGTATCATTTAAACCGCGTACAAATTTAATTGTTACTCATTTTAAGGGTAAATAGTTTGGCGCTCACCGTGGGACTAAGGATAATAGTGGTAATTTAATATGAATCTTTATAACACACTCTATTTTACATTTGCTCTTTGAAGTTTAATTTCAGTTTAATCTGAAAATATCAAATTCTCAGTCTACTCACTTGAATGTTGACACCGAGTCAGGCCACCACGGTGAAAATAATAATGTGGTACCTAGCAATGACGTACCCCATGCTGATCCCAATGGTGTCCCAATCGCTGACTCGGTCGACGCTAACTCACATGTTGCCATCAATGTCAACCTGCCATCTGACCCCGAAAATAGCATTCGCGGGGCACCTCGCCCATCGGCTCGAGAAGCACCCAAAGGGGAAGGTGATAGAGTTATCTTGCGATTGATTTTCGAAATGTTACAAGCTCAACATGCGGTAATAGCACAACTATAGACTCAAAGTCACTCCCAGAATAGGATCGAGCCCGAGTGGGTTAGAGAAAGCGCTTGAAGAGATGAACAAATTGCCGTGGAACCGGATGAGTTCGGGCCCGGACAAACTTCCGAGGTGATGAAAATGCTCGAAGCACTAACAAAACGGGTGGAGTCTTGTGAGAAAAAGAAAAGGCAAACGACAAGAAGGTGAAAACTTACAATTCGAGGGGCGATCAAATCCCGGAAGCGCCTCCAATATTAAAAGGGCCTGATTCCAAAAAATTCATTCAGAAGCCTTTCCCCCCGAGTGCGGCACCGAAGCCAATTTCTAAGAGATTCTGAATGCCCGACATTCCCAAATATAACGGGACCACATATCCAAACGAGCATGTAACCTCCTATACATGTGCAATAAAAGGTAATGACCTAGAAGACGACAAGATTGAGTTGGTGTTATTGAAGAAATTTGGGGAAACCTTGTCCAAATGAGCGATGATATGGTACCATAACTTGCCTCCAAATTCCATTGATTCATTTGCTATGCTTGCAGATGCCTTCGTTAAGGCCCATGCTGGCACCATCAAGTTCGAGACGAGGAAATCGTACCTCTTCAAAGTCAAGCATAGAGACAACAAGTTGCTTAGGGAATTCGTGTCAAGGTTCCAGATAGAGCGAATGGATCTGCACCCGGTCGCAGATGATTGGGCCGTTCAAGCGTTCACTCAAGGGCTCAACCCCCGAAGTTTCGTTGCTTCTCAACAATTGAAGCAAAACTTGGTAGAGTACCTAGTGGTTACTTGGGCCGATGTCCATAACAGGTATCGGTCGAAGATCAGAGTTGAGGACGACCAGCTGGGGGGCCCCTCGGGGTCTGTTTACCCCAATAGAGTGAACGACAGATCTAAAAGGATTATGGACCAGGAGCCAAGGCTGGTCCGAGATCGGTATCAACCATACAACTCGGACAAAATAGGAAACGGATCCGGTCGCCACCCAACCAGGAATGACAGGAGAAGCGATCAAGGACCTAGCAACCGGGGTCTGATGAATAAACAGGGTTTCGACAAATCACTTGGGGGCTGGGAAACCCCGAGATTATCAGAATATAACTTTAACCTGGACGCTGCAAGTATAGTGTCGGCCATTGGCCGCATCAAGGAGACCAAATAGCTGAGGCCACTTCAGTCCGATCCCGCACAGAGGGATAACAACTTGGTGTGTAAATACCATGGTACTCATGGTCACAGGATCGAAGATTGTCGACAGCTAAGGGAGGGAGTGGCTCGACTATTCAACAACGGGCACCTTCGGGAATTCCTAAGTGAGCGGGCCAAAAATCATTTCAAAAACAAGGATGCTAAAAAAGAATTGAGCAAGAGGAGCCTCAACATGTGATAAACATGATCATTAGGGGAGTGGATGTCCCACAAGGACCAATGATAAAATGCACCAAAGTTTCTATCACAAGGGAAAACCGCACCTGGGATTACATCCCGGAGGGGTCCATCTCGTTCAGTGACGAGGACACCGAGGGCATCATCCAACCTCACAATGATGCATTAGTAATAGCTGTAGTCATCAATAAATCTCGAATTAAATGTGTGTTAATTCATCCAGGTATCTCGGCCAACATCATCCGATGGAGGGTCGTAGAGCAATTAGGATTATTGGACCAAATCGTACCGGCAGTTCGAGTATTAAACAGGTTCAACATGGCATGCGAGACGACAAAGGGTGAAATAACCCTACCAGTAAACACTATCGGGACCACCCAAGAAACAAAATTCTACGTGATCGAAGGGGATATGAGATACAATGCCTTGTTCAGAAGGCCATGGGTTCACGACATGAGGGTGGTGCCTTCAACCCTACATCAAGCATTGAAACTTCCCACTCCGGAAGGAATCAAAACGGTCTACGAGGAACAATCAACCACAAAGAAGATATTCGTTATCGAGGAAGTAATCTCGGTGCCCGCGGTCTCGACATCAAAAAGTAGGGGACTAGTCGAAGAGAAGAAAACCAAATAACAATCAATGATCCCGACCCTGATCGGGCCGAAAAAATAGGAGGATCACACAACAAACGAGGAGGATGATTACGGTGTCTCGAGATCCTTTATAGCATCCGATGATGCTGATGCCACTAAATCGACAATCGAGGAATTGGAGCAGGTCATACTGATCGAGTGCCTACAGGATCGAAAGGTATACCTGGGCACAGGGTTAACTCCCGAGCTCAGGAAAAAACTTATTGATTTTCTTAAAGCTAATGTCGATTGTTTTTCCTGGTCCCACTTATATATGACAGGGATCCCACCGGAAGTGATAAATTACAAGTTAGGCTTGGACCCAAAATTCCACCCAATCAAGCAGAAGAGGAGGCCGTAGTCCTAAATCAAGCACGCACTTATCAAAGACGAGGTATTTAAACTTTTGAAAATAGGTTCCATCCGGGAAGTACCAGGATTGGTTAGCTAACATAGTGGTCATACCTAAAAAAGGAAACAAACTTAAAATGTTTGTGGATTATAAGGACCTAAACAAGGCATGTCCAAAGGATTCATTTTCTTTGCCTAACATCGACCAAATAATCAATGCGACGGCCGGATACGAGATACTGAGTTTTCTCGATGCCTATTCCTAGTACGACCAAATTTAGATGGACTCGGGCGACCAAGAAAAGACTTCTTTTATAACTAAATTTGGAACCTACTGTTATAACGTAATGTCGTTTGGGCTAAAAAATGCCAGTGCCACGTATCAATGCCTATTTAACCAGATGTTTGAGGAACAAATAGGAAAATCAATGAAAGTTTATATTGATGATATATTAGTTAAGTCCATACAAGCAGAGGACCATTTGAAGCATTTGTAGGAAACCTTCGACATATTGAGAAAATACAACATGGAGAAGTGTGACTTCGGGGTCAACTCAAGCAAGTTCCTCGATTTCATGGTATCTAACCAGGGAATAGAGATCAACCCGAACAAGATAAAAGCCATAAAAGATATCACCATAGTTGACAACATCAAGGCAGTAGCGGATAGCTGCATTTGGCCGGTTTATTTCGAGGTCGTCAAACAAGAGCCACTGATTCTTCTCATTACTAAAGAAAAAGAACGGGTTCTCTTGGACCCCGGAATGCTAGCTGGCTTTAGAAGAACTCAAACTGTATCTATCGATCCCTCATTTGTTGCACACTTCGAAGGCGAACGAGCAGCTATACCTCTACTTAGCAGTTTCCGAGGTAACGATAAGTGGCATCCTGGTTGGGAAGAAGAAAGTACGCAGTTTCCTATTTATTATGTTAGTAGAATCCTAGGCGATGTCGAAACAAGGTATCCACACTTAGAAAAATTAGTACTCGCCTTATTGAGCACATCTAGGAAATTAAAACCGTACTTTCAGTGTCACCCCATATGTGTTGTAACCTCATACCTGCTAAGGAATGTTATGCATAAACCCGAGATCTCGAGCCATCTAGCTAAATAGGCCGTAGAGATTAGCGTGTACGATATCGAGTACAAACCCTGGACTACTATAAAGTCTCAGATTTTGGCAGACTTCGTTTCCGACTTTACGCCGGCCTTGATCCCCGAGGTTGAGAAGGAATTACTGCTCGCCTCGGGGACTAGCTCAGGAGTTTGGACCCTATTCACGAATGGTGCTTCCAATGCAAAAGGGTTCGAGTTGGGAATTGTATTAAAACTACCTACGGGTAACATAATAAGGCAGTCTATTAGAACTGTGAAATTGACTAACAACGAAGCCGAATATGAGGCTATAATTGAAGGTCTAGAACTGGCTAAGAGCTGGGGGCTGAGGTGATCGAGGCCAAATGTGACTCCCTCCTCGTCGTTAACCAAGTCAACAAGACGTTTGAAGTAAAAGAGGAATGGACGTGGATATACTTGGATAAGTTAGAAGTGACCTTACACCAATTCAAGGAATGGACTCTACAACATGTACCTTGAGATCAAAATAATGAGGCCGATGCGTTGGCTAATCTAGGGTCGTCAGTCGACTCCGACAAATTCAACTCTGGAGCAGTAGTGCATTTGATGAACTCAGTGATAGAAGAAGGTCACACCGAGGTTAACTCAACAAGCTTGACTTGGGAATGGAGAAACAAATACATAGACTACCTTCAGAAAGGAAAATTGCCGTCAAATCCCAAGGAATCGAGGGCCCTACGTACTAAAGCTGCCAGGTTTGGCTTGGTCGTTGGAAAATTATACCAAAGATCATTTTTTAGGCCGCTAGCTAGGTGCTTGGGTCTGGGGGAGATCGACTACGTAATGAGGGAAGTACACGAGGGTACTTGTGGTAACCATTCGGGAGCGAAATCCTTGGTTCAGAAATTGATCAGAGCCGGTTATTACTAGAAAGAAATGGAAAAGGATGCGAAAAACTTCGTTCGAAAATGTAACGAATGCTAGAGGCACACCCCGATGATTTATCAATCGGGGTAAATGCTTCACTCAGTCCTATCCCTTTGGCCGTTCATTGAATTCATCTGGGATCATATAATATGCCGGTTCGGGATACCAGCTTAGATCACTTGCGACAACGGGAGACAGTTCATCGGCGGCAAAGTTAGTAAATTTTTTGAAGACCACAAAATCAAAAAAGATCTTATCGACACCCTACCACCCTAGTGGGCACGGTCAAGCGGAATCAACAAACAAAACTATACTCCAAAACCTGAAGAAAAGATTGGCCGACTCAAAAGGAAAGTGGAAAGAAATTTTTCCTAAGGTCTTATGGGCATACCTAACGACTTCAAAGTCAAGCACCGGTGCAACACCGTTCTCTTCAGTCTACGGTGCAGAAGCTCTAATCTCGGTCAAAGTTGGAGAACTGAGCCTAAGGTTCCAATATGCTACCGAGACGTCGAATGACGAGTCCATGGCCACGAGCTTAGACTTATCGAACGAAATACGAGAAGCTGCCCTAGTTCGGTTAGCAACCCAAAAGCAACGAATAGAGAGATACTACAACCGAAGGGCTAACCTTTGACACTTCCAAGTCGGGGACTTGGTATTAGGGAAATTACACTGCATACCAAGAACCAATCAAGGAGAAACTAGGCCCGAACTAGGAAGGTCCATACAGAGTCACCGATATAATTGTGAAAGGCTCATATAAGCTCGAGCCAGGGAACGGTGTACAACTACCCAACAACTGGAATGTGGCACACTTAAAGAGGTACTACTGCTAAGGTACGAACACAATTTCCTTTGTAGTTTATTATGCTTTGAACTAACCCGTGCAGGTATTCAGTCGAGGTCAAATATGAGGATTAGGTCTGAAAGCACGTATTGCACTCTTTTTTTCTTGGACCGGTTTTTTCCCGAAGTGGGTTTTACGACAATGTTTTTAACGAGGCAATAGTAAAGCGTGCTACCCTAGTTTTGAAGACCGGTCTAAGGCCGGTATTGTAGATTACCCATATTGGACAAATAGTATTCGAGCCCTCACAAGTTCAGTCTCGAATACTAGGGGTCCCATCACACCCTAAGTGAAGATCTTGAGTTCGGAAACTTAGAAGGCATTTTAATTTGATATTGAAAGCCAATGCTTGAATATTAGAATTAATTGTAAGGGTCAAATGGTCAAACGAATCATGCCCGTGTAGCTCATTCTTGCAATAGCAGAAAGCTTTTTATACCTTCGATTATGTTCTCTACATTCAAAGTAATAAAAGAAGTTTACCTTCTATAATTTATCAGTTCACATTTGCACCAGCGATGTTATCGTTAAGTTACTTAGATAGTGGGTTCAAAACCCTAAAGCCTACGCACCTCCCCGAACCGGGGACTGCTATCCGACAATAAGATCGGATAATTTGGGCTACCAAATCCCGGAGGTACCGAGCCTACTAGGTAGGGACCAAACATGCAAGGCTACGACCAACTTAAACGGCTTGGAGACGTCTGAGTCCGTACTTAGAAAGTAAGGTCTTTACACATGGTTAAAACCTATGAAAGCATACTTCAGACCCGACCATAAAAAGAGCCACCTTCGGCAAAGAATAATCATGTTCATTTAAAACATTCAAGTATTTTAAAGGCTTCATTTTTATCATATATTCTGAAGTCAAAGCAAATCGGAGTTATTACTTAAACCAGGCTTCATCCAGGCTCTAGGGGAATGAACACTCTAAGTTATGTCAAATTCTATGCTAAGGCATCAATGTCATATGTTAACAAAAAGTTGTTAGCTAACACTGAAAAGTAGAGGACACAACATAGCCAATTTGTTTTTTATATATATCAAAAGTATTTACAGAGGCACTATGAAGTGGCCCCAAAATAAAAAAAATGTACAAGGGAAAACAAAAAATGAACTAAGGCATTTTCTGCCTAGTCTTCGTCGGAGCTCGGCTCGCTACCCGAACCCTTGGGCTCGTATATCTCTTTGGCCCCAGCCTCTTCGGCTCTTCGCCTCTTTGATCTCGGCCGCTAGATTGAATCCCCGGGCATGAATATCCTCGAGGGTCTCCCTCTGGGATAGCCACTTCACGTACTCGACCTTTGTTATTATACATGCTTCAGCCACCTCCACACCGTTTTTATATTAGGCCAGCATATCCTGAACCCCGGAGGACGCGTTCGAAGTTGCCTCTAACTTAGACTTCAGTGCGGTGTACTCCCGATCGAGGGCATCCCATTCCGAGATGGCCGAGTCTAGTTGTTCTCGAAGTTCATCGTTCAGCCGAGACCATTTATCGGCTTTATCCACCATCACCTGAAGCTGGTCCATGGCTGATGCCAAATCCTCTTTGGTGGCATCCTTTTCCAAGGCCAGGAGATCCATCTTGCTCCTCAACCCCTTGGCCGTGGCCTTAACCTCATTCATTGTTGATCAAGTCTATCTTCTCTTAGACCTGCAAGGTTGTGGCATTAGTAGTTGCGCTTAGCCTCTCGTTATTAATCTCAAACACCCTTACCTTTTCGACCAGCATGACATGCTCCCGTTTCACCGATGAGGCCTTATTTTGAGCTTTTTCCAGCTCGGCTTGGAG